TTGGAGTCCACTAGGACTCCAAGATCCCTTTCCACTTCCGTGCCACCCAGCAGGTCATTCCCTAGGCTGTAGGTGTGCTGGACATTTTTCCTCCCTAGGTGCAGCATTTTGCATTTCTCCTTGTTGAACTGCATTCTGTTGTTTTCTGCCCACTTGTCCAACCTGTCCAGGTCTGCTTGCAGCTGTTCTCTGCCCTCCGGCGTGTCCACTTCTCCCCATAGCTTTGTGTCATCTGCAAACTTGGACAGAGTACATTTCACTCCCTTGTCCAAGTCACTGATGAAGACATTAAAGAGTATCGGTCCAAGGACCGAGCCCTGCGGGACCCCACTGCCCATACCCTTCCAGGTCGAAACCGACCCATCCACCACGACTCTCTGGGTGCGACCCTCTAGCCAATTCACCACCCACCGGACTGTGTAGTCATCCAAGTCACATCCTGTTAACTTGTTCACCAGTATGGGGTGGGATACCGTATTGAAGGCCTTCCTGAAGTCTGAGTATATGACATCCACCCCTCCTCCTGTGTCTAGGAGTTTTGTAACCTGGTCATAAAAAGAGACTAGATTAGTCAGGCACGATCTGCCTGCTACGAACCCATGCTGGTTTCACCTCAGCATAATTTGTCCTGCTGGGCTCTCACAAATGTGAGCCTTGATAATTTTTTCAAAGATTTTGCCAAGGATGGAGGTGAGACTGACTGGCCTATAGTTGCCCGGGTTCTCCTTCCCCCCCTTCTTGAAGATGGGGACCACATTGGCCCTTTTCCAGTCCTCCGGACTTTGTCGGATGTATACTCGTTATATTTTAATCTGTTTCCATTCCCTTGTGAATCTTCTTGCAAATGGAGAGAAACTGAAGAAGTCATTTCAGCTTTACATTCTAACCATTTAAGAGCCTTCCATAATTATACAGATACAAGAATAGAAAGGTACTTACTGGAATGAAAGCTAGTGGATAATGTGGGTCTTTTCTTGTCATTCCAAACTGGGAATCCAGATAAATTCATTTTCCTTTCATGAGTTTGGTAATATTTATGTCCTAAAAGCAAAAGTATCTGGGAGGATCCTTTAGTGTGATGGGCATGGCAATGTACAAATGAAGCAGATTACTGTTCCCAATCTGAGTTGTTCATGTTCATCATTCTCAGGACTGACAGGACCTGCAGATCCTATAGTTAACATTAATGTAAGAGTCATAAGGATTTTTCCAAACACAGCCCATGATTCCTGAATCATGGCATGGTTCCATTTTAAAAAACCTCTCTCTTTAAAAAAAAAACCTGTTTGATTAATTTATTAATGCACAGGGCTGTACATAGGGTCACTATTGTTGTTCAAACTAGATATTGTGTAAGTTCCTTATCAGACCATGATGACACATTAAACTGTTAATGAAGAAAAACACTTGTTTTGTGGCCCTACTTCATTATATTGTGATGGACAGACTGGATTTAATATTCTATTTGGATTATTTAGCTGTGAACCCAACCTTAAATTTAAGAAAGCATATGACATATTCTGTAATTTTTTATAAACAGAATTAAAAAACCAAACTACCTTTTCTTGAAATCAGCCTTTAAGTAGTGGGGCCAGACTACTGGTGATTGAAAACCAAGATGAAAATATGGCTAGTGAAAGCTAATTCAAGGAAAAGTTTCAGGTAACATTTTTTTGTTTCTTTTACTCCTTGTTGTATGTTTAGAATGGATTTCAGTGAATGTCACCCATTTTTCTGTTTTTGGCATTCGCTTTGAACAGCCAGTCACAGGTCTGAGGGACAATCACATTAAAGAGCAGTGTGTGTGAAGTGTTGCCTATGAGCTATTGACTTTCAGTGCTGGTTGTGCCACCTGTTGCGCATGCTAAAGGATTAACTGTAGAAATCAACTAATTATTACAAACATCTGCCACCCAGTACATTAGTACACTTCAATGTAGTATTGAAGTGTGTCCTGTGAGAGACCAACACAATTAAAATGCTACAGTGATAGTCTAACAGTTTATGTTTGTGAAATGCCTTGGGATCTATTGCTATGCAGGAAAGTTACTTATAGTTTAGGATCCTTTATATTCCACCCATCTTTCAAGTGATTCCCTGACCATCCTAGTGTATCATCAGTCAGAGTGGGTCTCAGTATAAAGAAATTCTATGAGCTAGAGAGAAGTCTAGATCTCCAGGGTAAAATGTTAAATATAGCATATTATTAGGTGTTCTTAATAACTACCATCTTTCCTCATCTACTCACCTCAGATCTGGCTAGTGAACAGCTAGCAAACAAGTAAAAACACATCTTCTTTAAGAACTATACTACAATACTCCAGTGCTGAACTCTTTGTAATAAATACCACATGTACAAATGTAATGTATAACCTATGTGTTAATAGAGGATACCGTATAAAGGCAAAGTTTATGGAAGTTATTGTTCCCTTTCCTTATGTCCGTAAATGCTCTCTCCTGCTTCCATTATTGTCACCATAAACATTAATTATTATTATTAATATTGTTCATAATGGGAGCACTATCTGTGGTTTCCAATCAGCAATCAGTGTCCCATTCCACTAGAGATCATTCATGCTGTTATAAACATGGTTGTAACAGGAAGAGAGTCTATCAATGCTGTAGGATTATCACTGTAACTTCACTGGTCTTTAATTTATACAAATATGTATTTATAGGAAGGAGAGAGGATCTTGGCATTAGGACTGAGAGCTGATACCAGAGTGAGCCAGATTTTCTACTACCGAAAATAGGTGAAATTCAATTAGCATTACCAATATATATATCAGCAGTCAATTTTGCCCAGTACTTGGCAAAAGCCTGAAAGTCATCTTTAAATAATGGGTCAAATTCCTCCTCTTTAAATTGCCTTTAATCCTTAGGGGCAAATGGTATCCAAAAAAGGTAGCCAGCAAACATTCCTTTTCATGAGGATGTTGACTGCAAATACCAGGTTAATTCACAAAGGCTGTCCAACAACCTTCCAGTGAAAATAGCTTCAGGTTGTGTCTGACTTGGGTCAGATCAGAACAACGTGAGTGGAAAACGAGTGATTATCCTTTTCATGATAAAGCCACTCCCTTTGGTTGCACATTTCAAAACCTGCCCATCTGTAACCTTATCTTTCGCTCACAGAACATGCTGTAAGGTCTGTAATTTATTACAGTATTATTTTCTAGACACAGTAAGTTATATTAGTCATTTTGCTCACCTGTGAAAGATCATTCAGAAGGTGAAAGACCTAAGAGATATGGTAAGCATTATTCTAACAAATGGTGATGAAGAGCATAGTATAAATCATGTTTTGGGGCTGGATGAAATGTTCAGTGATGAATCTAAACATCATATATCATAGGCAGAATTTGTCAAACACCATAGTTCATTCTGTGAACAAAATGTTTTCAATCAAACCCTTTGCTTGAATTCTTATAACTGCCCAATCAATTTTTGACCAAGATAGTGTCATTTTGTTAAACAAATACATGTGTTTACATTATTTGTATCTTTCTGTTTACATGATTATAGTCTGATCTACATAAGTCCTTTTCCCTTTTTAGAGTGTGTATGGCCAAAGAAAGAGAGAGAGTACCTAGAGACAATTCATTATGCTAACAAAACAGTAAAGGAGCTATTTGGGGTAGGGTGGGAAGTTATGGTTGCTGGAACCACCATAACTCTATTGATTTAAAAGTATTAATGCCAATTTATACCAACTCTGAATCTGCCACTTATAAGACAAAAATATGGTTTGTTTTTTTTGATAGATTATTTGATACAGTCCTTGGTTCTAGCTAGCAAAATAGTATAATATATTAATGGTCCTTCACTTCTTTCTCTGACAACAAGTATTTTGCTGGAACAAGACTTTTTGGACCTGACTCAGTTAATATTAGGGCATGTCCATACTGCTGAGTCTGGGACCAACACTTAACATTAAAACTTACCCACTTGCTGCCACCCAGCATATATCCAACCCCAGTAATCAGCAGGGATCCTAGCTTTGTATGTTTATATATTAGTGGTGTTTCATTTTGATCATGGAAAAATTGAGGATTTTTTTTTTGGTCAGAGAAAGCCAGGATCCCTGGTAATCAGTCAGAGTAGACAGTTTAGAGAGGTCAGAGTGCAAGCCCACTGCAGTTGTCAGGCTTTTCATCTTAATCTTAGAGAACATTAACAAAATAGTCTATGCTTTCCTAATGCTATGCATTTTTATGCTAATATGAGCGTGAACTTTTATTTAAAATTAGAATATGACAAGACACATGCAGCTCTAATGCAAATAATCACAACTACATTAAAGCCAATGGTTTGTCACAAAAGATGACTTTGCACCAATATTTATTAACTATGACCCAGCTTGGCAGTCCAAATGAAGATAATACTTCATTGAGAGTTATTCATGTTCCAGGTTTGTAGGGTCAAGTCCTAATTTTCATGATAATCACTTATGAACAACTTTCAAATTATTTAACTCCCCGCTGTTTCAGTCACTTAAAGGAGAGTTAACGCTTCCTAAGAGTAGATGGTATAAATTAGGGGTGTGTGAAACAAGCCATATTAGATTTAGATTAGGCCCAAATCAGGGGACAGTGATTCAATTCATTGATTCAGATCACTGTCCCGATTCCATTCAGCTGAATCTGAAGATTCGATAATGATTCAGAGAATCAGCATTTCGGCCATAGACACAGCTTTAAATGTTTTTTCTACATACCTCGAGGTACTAGGCATGGTTCATGAATGCTGAGATGGTGGAGTGGTTTGAGTGTCCTACAGGAGTGTGCGGGGGAGGAGGCCATGTGCTTGGTGGTGGACCCAGAAGTGGACCGGAAATACTTCCGGTCCACTTCTGGGTCCACCCCTGAGCACGTGGGGGTCCCCCCTGACACTCCCCTGGCTTGGCAATCAACAGCAGGGGGACCCCAGGTGCTCCCCCAGACCCAGAAGGCACCAGTCACTAAGTCAGGGGTTTTAAATGTAAATAATTCAAAAATAGATTATCTTTAAAAAAAAACAAAACAGATTGAATTAGTCATAACAATATTTTGGAATGCTCCTGGCTTCATTAACAACAAAATGGTTTGATGTCCTTTTATATGGAGTATGAGTGCCCCATCAGGCATTACACTTAAAATGCAAGCATCCATGCATTCAAGCAGTAAAACATGACCTAAGTGCAGTCATATTGTAGCAGAATTATGACTTCTTATGGGAGGAATATTTCTAGATTGAATTAAGCCTACATGTGTAGCATGTGTGATTTGCAGCACCACAAGCTGCGGCACTGCATACCACACACGTGCACTCGTCTGGATGTGCCCTGAGAGACCAAATATTGTATGTATATTCAATGCATGCATAACAATCACCTGATATATTAAGCAGAACATAAAAGCTAACAGCCATCACCATCTTCATTCCAAAATATGGCTAGTAGTAATGGTGTCACTGCCTGTCATTTGTAGAATAGCTTAATGAGTAGAATATATGCCCAGGCAGGGAAAGACCTAGATTTTGAACTCTCCTGAGCTCAAGGTAATTTGCACCTACATCTTCCACTTTCCAAGACAGAATCCAATGAATAAGCTATTCTAGGTAGGGCGACACTCTGCCTTCCTGTTTAATAAGTGCCTTTTTGAAGGAAAGAATGCAAAATCCATTGGGTCAGAAGGAGAGCAAGCAAAAGCAGCATGACTCTCTGGTCTGCTGGCCATGACTCTCAATTAGGAGTCATCCTAGATTTGAATGTCTGTTCTCAAGATTTCTGTTTTTATCAAATGGCTGCTTAATGTAAACTGAATAATCAGCCCAGGAAGTGGGTACTGGAGGCCAGAACTACCTCCCTCTCCAGATGAATGCCCTAACCGCCAAGCTACAGTCATGACCCTTCTTGTTTGGTCTTCTGATACAGCAGCACAGCTCCACCAAGGGGGCAAGGTGTGCCCCATTCACCATGCCCCATAGCATAGTTTTTAGGACAGTATCCTGGGAAGTGCAAAATGTGGATTTAAATCTGGCCAAGGAGATACAAGAGCCCATATCTTTCCCTTTCTGAGGAATTGCTGTAAGGCAATCCCCCAGTTACCATGTTTTAAAAAGAATGAGCCCTGATCAGTTCTTTCAAAGCATACCTGTTGGTGCCTACAGTCAGGCCCTGGATTCCAAGTGGATGTAGACAATACTTTGCAACTTTGCCTCAGGTGACAACATTTTGTAAATGGGTGGGAGTTTATATGTTCTTCTGCGCTATGTATTGCCTAATGACTAACACTAAGTGATGGCCTACTCAGAGTGCAGGTTTTTTTTGGATTATCCTCCAGAGATAATGGAAGGATATATTTTCTCCATATGTTATCTGAGGAACCTATCTGCTTCACTCTGGGGGACAGCTGTCTAAGAGTTAGGTATTAAGCCTAACTTGCAGGTGTCTTGCTCAATTGGTCTTGCCAAAAAAGTGTGCTACAAGATCAAATTGCTGATGCTGTTGTTACATGGAAAGTAGTAATGCATAGGGTGCATCTGTAGTTATGCCCTAATTTATTCTAAAACAGAATAGGATAAAGTAAAGCATTTTAATATTTGTAAAATGTTGTTCTCTTTAGTCAGCTTTATTCACAATGATCCACTCCAGATAGAACTGGGTAACATATTTCCATCTTATCAGAGGTGCACATACCTATCAAAACCAGATAAACAGATAAAAAACAGATAAACATAATAAATTAACTAGAATTAAGGCTCTTCCATAACAATGTCCTTAGTGTTACATCTTTTATAGACCTGATTCAAACAAGGGTAATGCCAATAGCATTCCTAGCAGCCATAACTGCTATTAAAACCTATCAATATTTGTTGTTCACTAGCCTTCAGAGATGATAAGAGATCAAAAGGCTTTATGAGCCATATTACCTTGCTGATGAACTTGTCAAGCATTCCGTTTGTAGAGACTGATGGAGTAGTTTTCTCCTTATCTTGCTTATTCTACTTACAGAGAGCACAGTATCATTTTGGGAAAAAACCCTTCAAAATAAACTTTATTAATATAAAATATTTTCCTATAGGGACTTGCTTTAAGAGGTTATTATACTGACTTTTGATCACATCACTATTTCATATCAGTAAAAAGTACTGTAATAGAGACCATGATAAAATATATTTTGCATGTTTATAGATATTAGACTCATACTGTTAAATCCTATAGGCCCACTTCATGAGTTGTGATATATCTACTACTAATTAACTTGATTCATCTGGTTTCAAAGCAAGCCTTCCTCATGTGGGAGAGATTTTACTCTCCAAGTTTGTAACACTACAGTAAATTATTTCCTCATAGTTCTGTTGTGCTTCAAGCATCCTAAACTCTGCTTCCATACAGAGTCTTGGTTCAATGAATGTCTCTTATTTGAATGAACTGAAGCTTTTGTTCTTTTTTATCATTCACACACAGACATGGAGGGTTCTCTCCCACTGAAGTAGGTTCTTCAATGCTGAGGTTTTAGCTGAGATAACCTAACCATTCAAGGCTGTGCCCTTTGGAGAAGCCCTTCAGACTGTTTAATGAAGCAAAGAACTGGGAAAGTACTTTGTTCTTGCAGCTTCTTTTCCACCCTTCAGAAGCACAGTGTTTAACAACATGCTAATGAATCCAGTTTTTTGGATGGAAATATAGTATTCTTCATTACAGACATTTTAACAAATGTAATCAATTAGCAAAATATTGCAGCAACTAAGCAGTGTGAGAAAATGATTTCCAATTATGAAATTGCACTTGTGTAACTGTCAATTGGATGTTCAAAAGTGTGTTGAAAAAACCTTTCGAGAGAGATTCTACATTGGAAAATGACTAGGTTAAAATAGCGCCTTTTAACTGAACAGATTTCTTTTCCTGTGTTTAAGCACAAAGAGTACAGTACAACTTAATACAGACTGACTTTCAGCTCTTGGGCTGAGCTTTGTGAGTCTGGTAGCTAGAGGGGAAAAAAATCGTCTTACTTATAAACTTAGTATATTTCATTGGAAGGTCCCTGAGTTACAGTAAGCTTTTGAAACCATAATGTCATTTTTACAGTCACTTTTCAAAATGAAATTGCAATTTAGCATGCCAGTGATAAGAAAGGATAACATGAATTTAATGACAAGGTTAGCAGTTACTGATTGTTGCTTTAATTAAAATTATGTGGAATAAATAATTTTTAAAAAGCAATCTTTCACAAAGATGAGATTGAAGTGAGATATTTGAAGAGATTTTTCTCACAGCCATGGTCATTTAAATGTTGCCCTTTGACAAGAACACATTTTCAAAATACCCATTCAAATGATACTGCTAAGGAGCCCCAAGTTCAGAGAGATCTTGAAAATTGAGATTTTTTTTTTTTATGGTCTCAG